GATCTGTACAGGAGGCAGAGAGGGCTGAAGATGGGCCCCCCAGCTCTGAAGCCCGTGATGCCACGCGTGCAGGTATTTGCTCAGATTCCTGGTAGATAACTGCACAGCAAACCCATGCATGCCTTCAGCTACTTCTAGTGTATTTTAAGAAACACATGAAACTCTTGTGCAGGATGACTCATAGCATAGCAGTCCCATTAATGCATTTAAACATAAAACGCATATGCCATAAAGGGCTATCCCAGGGCCTGCATTTCTTTCTTTCTTTTTTTTTCCCCAGAAATAAAATTCCGTTAATGCCTGCAGATTGTTTCTGAGTGATTCACCACAACTCTCAAAGCACACTATTTTATTTGGTTCCTCTTATAGGTAAAACACATGCAAGTATCTATCAGACCTTTTGTTTTACTTTTCCCTTCCTGGAAGTTTAATGATTGGAATGCTGCTGCTGGGTGAATTTAGCTGGTAGGATGCCACATGTGTGGGCTGCTTCCTACATCTGAGACAGCACAAGGTGCAGCGGGGGGAAGGTTATCAGTACCTTTGGGGACAGGGGAAGGGTGCAGACAAAAACAAATGGGTGCAGACAAAACAGCAATGGACCTGCATAAAGGTTCTCATGGGCATTCGTAGTGTGTATCAGTGTCCCCTGTAGCTCCCTCCGAACTGAGATGCAGTGTGAGCAGGAATGAAGGTGTCAGTGTCCTCTCCCAAATCTCCTGTGTCAGCTGATTGTCCCTGCTGGGGAGAAGGGCCATACCGAGGATCTGCTGCATACACTGCTGGAAGCTGCTGTCCTTCATCTGCCCAGCCTCCCATCCACTTAAAACCTCTAAGTCCACCCCATGGGGACACAGTGGCACCTGAGCACAGTGCTTGGTTCAAGCTACTGGCAGCCAGCTGGGGATGGCACCCACTGGTCCTGAGGAAGGCAAAAAAGCACCTCTTGTCATTCTGGCTCCCCCAACACACCTGGCATGTGAGGAGAGCAGAGGTACACACAGCATTGTACCTCACAGTCCTGCCACATTCTCCTGGTGCCTGGGCAGCCTTTTCTCACAGGGTATGCTCTCTATGTGTGTCCCTGCTAACTGGAGCCCTAAAACTGGGTGTGCAGTCCCCAAAGGCCAGGAAAATATAACCCCTAGGACATTCATCCCAGAAACACTGGTGGGTGCCCTCTTCTAGTTGACTGTATAGACTAAACTACAGTTGACTGTCTACATGTGACTAAGAGAAACCAAAGCTTAAATCTCCCAGGTCTTTGGAAAACAGGTGAAGTTCTTGACAGAAGGAAACCTTTGTTGCTTCTTTATAGTGCCTGGCATGATGTCAGGTACTCAAAGCCTTAATGCCATGGCTAAACATATAGTAGCAAATATTACTCAAGTTAGTCTTATGTTTTGGGTACAGAACATAGGAAAAAGTCCACATCCAGACTCTCCTCCATCCCCACCAATTCAAGATACAGAGCAGAGAAGTGATTCCCACTTTGGCTTTTCTTTTTTTTCTAATTTTGGCAAAAAAAAAAAAAAAAAAAAAAAAAAAAAAAGAATGCCAAGGATGTTGTCTGATGACCTGCATGGGATGCTCTTTCTCAAAGGGCTGAACTGAAACTTGTCCTCCTTGCCCATCTCTGCCAGTGCTTGCATGCAGCCTTGGTGTGGTTAGGAATCAGTGCTGAGAACAGGAGCAATTCCAGGAAGAGATTTGTGAAAAACTGTTGCAACATTTCAGTATTGTAAGATTTTTGCAGAAAATGGAGCTACCACACTTGACATAGCAGCCTTGTGTTTGTTGCCATCACACCACTGGCTTTTAATCATGCAGACTTATCTCCTGCATTAGTCTCCTCCTGAAATCAAAAGCTATCTTTGGGGTATTCCTTCTATTCCCTGCACAAGCCTTCATCATTCCATCTCCTCGTTCCCCCAAAAAGACTTTTCAGGCTCTACTTGCTTAGTGTGATGAGCACTGTCATGGTAATTCCCAGTTGTGCCTGTGGTGAATTTGAGCCTGAATGGCTTTACAGCCCTTCAAAATGAACCAGAGCCATGTTACACATCTCCAGTGGACAGCACTGAAAATCATTGTGGAGCACAGATCAGTGCACAATTACAGTCCTAATGCTGGGATAAAACATTGACTCTGTGGATGAGTCCTGCTATCCAAGTGCCAGAAAAAATAAACTGCTGTGAGCCAGCAGAATACAAGGAACCATCACTCAGCCCTGGTGTTCCAAAGGGACTTGGTACCTGTGAGGTGGGCAGGGATGACCTTCAGAAGTACAGTTCAGTAGTCTTCATGCTTGGCAAAGGACAACAGTGTGCAACAGGCACCTTTCCCAATACTACCAAAGTCTGAGGAGCTCTCAGTCAAAGAACATTGCAAAATCTTTACAAAAATTAGATCCTGCCTTGGAAAAGGCCAGTCAAAGCAAGCAGGACTGCTTGCTGTATCCTCGCTTCCTGGAGTCCCAGCTGCTATGCAAGGATCTGGGACTGCAGCAGAAAAAAGAGCCTGTGGGATGTGTATCACAGAATGGGCACGTCCTAGCAGAGGGAAGGGTCTTACCCAGAAGAGATTTGCCAGAACTGTGGCAAGGTGAATATAGCTCTTCATATATTTTCTCTCTTTTTTGAAACAGACAAGCAGCTTAGTGCATCTGTGAGATGAAGACTGAAGAATCCAGAATTCCTGGTGCTCAGGCATTGATCCTCCCATTCCTGTTATTTTATTTAAGGGAATTTTTGTTATGTGGTTTTCAAGCATCTACCTGCCTTGCCCTCAGCCAGTGCTTACACTCACCTGAGCAGCTGCTTTTCCTTACATGCTCCCAAAATTATCACTGTTGCTCCAGTTCTCTGACCCTTTATCTCTATAACTAGAGCAGCCAGAGGCAATGAGAATTGTGTAACTATCTCCCCACTTCCCAAGTGCTTGGGACAGGTCTGGTAACTTTGATAGTATGTCTCATGGGACACACAGAATAAATCTCTATTAGATTAGGGCACTTATAAATAAATTGGCTGCTTGCTACAGAAAAAAAGAATGAAAAGGTCTTTATTTTAGTTAATGGATGAGAGAGGCAAGGAACACAAATATTTTGGCTAACATTAAACTATTGGTAAAGGATGAAAAATCAATACCTTTATTTTAAAAGTTATCTGAAGCCATATAATGAAAATTAACTACTGCTAGATTGAAAGCCAATAATTTAAAAACAGCATGTCATCTATAATCTAATGGTGTACAGAATTACCCTGCACAGATGGGGCTCAAAGAGTAGTCGTATGGCCAGGTGATAAAGAAGTAAAAGTAATGTTTTTTATAGCAGAACAGCATCTGTGATAACCCACAGCCATCCTCAGACACTGTGGAACTTGGCAGCAGATTAACCACTGAGATATAAAACACATGACAAGCACGTAGTGACATCAAAAGGAGTGCAATGTAATGGTGTTCAGATGTCTCCCCTCAAGCCCACACAAAAGCTGCTCTGAGGGCTGCTGCAGCTCAGAACTCTCAATGATTCCCTTTTGATAAGCCTGTTGTTATCAAATCCAAGGAGTCTTATGAGCAGCACCTCCTGACTTTGTTCCTCTGCTAACTGAAGAGCATGAAGGCTTCTTCTGTTGCCTGAAAGACGTGTGAAGGTTCAGGTTTTAGACCTCAAATCCTGTTTTGACTTCAGAAGTTGATTGCACAAGCGGACAGTGAATGAGTGTCTCCGTTTCCCTTGCGGTCAGAGAAGATCCTATTCATACTGAGTTTACAAGCAAACACTTCCTTTGGTAAGCTTCCCGTGCAATTCAATTCATGTGCGTGCTTTCAGGCTCTGTCTTTGGGTCTGGACTAACATCAGAACAAGCAAGAGAGGCAGGCTCTCTTCTCAGCCCACCACAGCCTTTTCTGCAGTGCTTTGAAATGATGAAACACACTGTGTTTTCTGCACGCTGCTGCAGTCCTGTCAAGTCACAGTGATTATTCATGCATCAAGAGGCTAAGCACAGACATGGGTATCTACTGGATGATGTACACCCATTCCAGAGTTTTACTTGCTTAACAATCAATCTAATGTTTTTGC